TGCAGGGTGAATCATTAAGATATGATTAGAGATCGGATTAGATCATACTTTTGTTTGACAACCACTGGTTGGCGTTTCAGTTGTGGCTACTGTTAATACACGCATATTCCATTTCTATACACGCGCACTCACTCCACACCCACACACACACACACACACACACACACACACACACACACACACACACACACACACACACACACACACACACACACACACACACACACACACACACACATACACACACACACACATCCATATGTATGTATATGCCCACACACACACACACACACACACACACACACACACACACACACACACACACATACACACACACACACACACACATCCATATGTATGTATGTGCACACACACACACACACACACACACACACACACACACACACACACACACACACACACACACACACACACACACACACACACACACATATATATATATGCCCATATACACGTACACATACAAATGCACCTACTTGTACACATACACATACACACGCACACACATACACATATATATGTATATGTATGTATATATGAATATAAAGAAATATATATATATATATTATATCTATATATATATATATGTGTGTGTGTATGTGTATGTGTATATGTATGTGTGTGTATATGTATATGTATGTGTATGTGTGTGTATATGTATGTGTGTGTGTGTGTGTGTGTGTGTGTGTGTGTGTGTGTGTGTGTGTGTGTGTGTGTGTGTGCGCGCGTGTGTGTATGGGTATGTGTATGTGCGTGTATGTGTATGTGTATGTGTGTGAGTGTGTGTGTGTGTGTGTGTGTGTGTGTGTGTGTGTGTGTGTGTGTGTGTGTGTGTGTGTGTGTGTGTGTGTGTGTGTGTGTGTGTGCGTGTGTGTTTGTGTGTATTTATGTGTATTTGTGTACATTTGTGTGTGTGTGTGTGTGTGTGTGTGTGCCGTGAAATCAGGTTTGAACAAATAGTCGGAGCACAGGCTTTTTTTTACAACTGCCGTGGCTACTATCGTGGCTGTTACATATATACGTGTGTGTGTGTGTGTGTGTGTGTGTGTGTGTGTGTGTGTGTGTGTGTGTGTGTGTGTGTGTGTGTGTGTGTGTGTGTGTGTGTGTGTGTACATATACACGGTCTAATGTAAACAATATCGTTCCACATGTCTGTTCCTGGTTTAAAAAGCCTTCATTTCTGTCGCTCCTTATCAGGAGCGCTGGTGCCAAAGGTATGGCTCCATCCTATTCTTTAGAAACTACTGTTTGATTTTATTTTATCTTTTTTTTTTCTACACCACTTTGGATTCTTTGATATTACAAATGGAAGCTAATATAAAATGCAAGCTGACATTGTCTTTAAAGTACCACCGTAGTTATCACCTATGTGATAAATAGACGCATCAGGTAAGCAATCCCCAAAACAGCAGTTCTTTCGGACTTATTACATTATGATTCTGTTTTCCATTCCTTATAACTGTCAAGTTTATTCATTCATTTGTGCCACAGATAGGTTTATATATAATTCCACTCACAAGGATTTCTTTTATTAAGTAGATGTCGTGACGGCGGAAATAATGACCAAAGACTGGGGTTGTAGTGAATGCAGGAATGAGCGCAGCACCGTAACACTAATCAAGACGCAGTCCATTAATCTAAGCATGCAGAACAAGTTTTGGAAGTGCCATCATACATACACCTCTACTTCTGTCAAGTTAGAGTCCTGATACTCGTGTATGAAACTTTGAGTTCACACCTTATTTAAACGCAGCAGAAAAAAAGTCCTGCGCCATGTCTCGCTTGACAATGTTGCTAGTAAATTAATAACGTAAAAAAAAATAAAACTCTGTATTTACATAACATTTTGCAGTCTTTAGTGCTTTGTCTGAACCTCCAGTGCTCTGATTTTGTAGGAGACTACAGTAGGCATAGTCAGAATCCCACCTCAGACCTCGGGGCAACCACTGGGAGGGGGTTAGAGGACGGAAAATTGCCATACACTCTCTTAGCTATTGCTGTTAAGTTAATACCCAAAGTTAATAATTTTTGGCCCCTTAAGGACAACAGTTTTTGGCTTAGGGTTCATATACTAAATAACTCCCAGATTCAGCTGATGCAGATTCATAAGCTAAGAGTTAAAGTTTTCTTGTCGGTCCAAATCCAAAGGGATGTGAGGATTACAGAAAGCGAAATTCTCGAGAGCATGGAGGACCAAGGCATTAACTGTACAACCAAAAAGGATGGTAATGTGCAAACAAAAATTGGACTGTTTTATGACTTTTGCTTTAAATAAAATCCCTGAGTATGTCAATGTTGAAGACGAACGTGTCCAAGTAAGAACCTTATATCCAAAAGCCAGTGCATTGTAACAGATGCCAAAAAATCGGATGTATTGACAAAGGTACAAATAAATTTATTTGCATAAATGTGCTGAGCCCATGACACCTTTACATTTATGTGTAATTATTTCAAATGTGCCAGTTGTGGAGGTTCCCATCAATCAGACTCTACTAAGTGCAGCAGTTCAAGAAGGAGATACTTTGACATATATGAAAAAGAAGAAGCAGCACGCACTCTTTCAGTCTTTTTTTTTTTTTTTTTTTTTTGTCCCATGCCCATTATAGCTAGATTAAATGATCTTAAATTATTAGCCTCGTTCTATGCTCCCAATATTATATTTCTCCAAGAAACACATTTAACCCACCTCATCTCTGAGGAGGTCGTTTCACTGAGGAACTACCGTTTATGTTGGAAGGATCGTGAGGGTAGGAGTGGAGGTGGAGTCTCCATGTACTATTGATTCTACTTAGGATTTTGTCGCATGTAAAATAAAAATCAATGGCACATATCTGACTATATGAAGCCAAATACAAGCTCAGTCTCAATACCATTGTACGCTCATCAACCAGAGTGGCCTCTACTAATGATGGCTGAAGGCTGCTATGGCAACTGATCATCCTGTTGGAAAGAATGGACTCAGGGTGGGGGCATGGAAAGTCCACTCTATGTGAAAGGTTGATTGGTTACCATTCCTGTCAGGGGGATTGTAGCAGCTGAGAGTTTAGATGGCTATTTTTTCGGAAGTGGGAAGACCTGGTAGTGGCACAGTCAGTATGGGTAGTTACACTTACTACTGGTTGAGCTGCAGTGATGATCACCATCTTCAGGAAGTAGCTATAACTATCTCCAGCAGACTTCAAATGTGCTCCTACTGACATTTGTAAAATTGGCATGAATCAGATGCTTTACACCAAACTCATATCTGTGACAGACAGCTGTCCTCGGCGAGATATTCACATTTTTAGGTGAATTCAATGCATTATCTTTCGGTCCTTATGGCTCGGGAGCTGATGCCAGCAGCGAGAATAGCCTCCTTTACCGGGACATTGCAAGGTCCAGATCTGCTGGTTATAACAGAGCGCCGAGTTCTGTGGTACTAATCATAGATTAGTGGCTATCCTCCGAGTCCATTTCAAAACTCCCCGTCGGCCTAATGATCGCTCTAGGGTGTTTCATGTGGACATGTTGAAGGAAGGGGAGTGTGCCATGGGGTTGCTGAGGCTATCTCTGGTTGTTTCACAGCACTTGGAGACCTAATGGACCCTGTACTGCTGTGGAACACCTTCAAGTGTGAAGCGCTTGACGCAGCACAAGAATCGATTGCTGAACGCCCAAGAACAAGACAGATTTTCATCTTGCAGGAGGCAATGGAAACCATAGTTACTTGTCACACAGCTGGCAACAGGAGTCTTGAACTCTAACAACAGCAGTGTTTGGAGATGCCAGTACCTGTGCAGGACCAAATTACCAAGGAAGTTGTGGCTTGGGCAGATCGATCAAACCTGTCGCGAAGAGCTAGGGATGGGCTAAGCCCCTTCCTGGCAGTTCACCTTGAGGGACCCTCATAGGTGGATACTAAGGGTGGATGTGTCTGTTTGCCTCCATCAACATTAGCTCCCCAATGATGATTAGTTCCTGAAGGCTTTCTTGTTGTGTCGCAATGAGTCGTCATTGTGCTAGGGGCACTTGGCTGCTGTTGTTTGAAGAGACCAAATATATGTTAATAAAGCTCAAAATACCCATATTATTGTCCATCTGCGTCGGACTACCATCTTTCAGAAGGACCAAATCAGAATTATTAATCAGCTTAATTAACTACTGGCTCACCTCTACCATCTACCCAAAGAGAGCCCCATAATGTATGAGGAGCCTTAAAATCACCTAAAATTTATTTATTTTGAGGCAAAGAGCTCACCATAAATTACATTATCAAGTGGTCAATAAACTGAACATACAGTGAGATACGTAATACTGATTTTTACTTTGAATGCAACAAACTCCTTAGTAGAATCAATAGTCACCTCAGTAAAAGGGAGGTTTTGGTCGATGTACATGGCTGCGCCGCCACCCCACCTCTCAATCCTTCCGATACAGATGGTAGTACCTCAGTGAAACTACCTCCTCAGATGAGGTGGATTGAATGCGTTTCTTGGAGAACTATCATATTCCAAGGATAGCATGAAGCTGATAATTTAAAGTTATTTAATCTAGCTATGAGACTCCGACAGTTCTGCCGTATAATGGTTGATGCAAAGATTATGGTTTATGGGTTATTGATGTACCTTGTCCACCAGTTTTTGTTCTTTTTTTGGAGGGGAAGGGAGGTGCTTCCTCTCCCTCGCTTCCCGGGAACTTTTCTCGGGACGATTTGGAGACAGAAGGCTCCATGTCCTTCTTCTCCTTGCGAGGCAGACAATTGGCAGAGTGTGAGTTGCTTCTCTCTCAAGAAGCTGATTGAGAGCCAGGCGAAGTCCTTACAGGAGTCGCATGGGCAGGAGGTGCGATACAGACTGTGATTCGGTATCAGCCTCGTTAAAATGTTTATCCTGGTTGATTTAATTCTTTGACAGTTTATGAGTAACAATTTCTTTATCTATAACTGCAAGCTGTTGAATGACATTATTTACACTAGAGGTGACGTTAATTATTGCTGCATC